GGAGCCTTGTGGTTGTAACACGTCTCTTCAGTCGTCAGAACGTCGCCTTTAATCGTGTCTCACAGGTCTAGAAGTGTTGGCGCTGCTGCTTGTGAGACTTGGGAAGCACACGTGTCCTCCCGTCACGACCTCAGGGAACCTTTGTGTCCAGGGCCAGAAAAGGCACCCGGACGAAAAACCACAGGGGCTGCAGGCTATGGGAATGTCTCCGATTCTTGCTTTTCTCGACTTCACGATGTGCTTTTGGATGTTTTCGTGGTGCATGTGTGTGGTCTGTGCCTGGCTCCCACTTTGGAGTCCTGTGTGAGACGTGGTTCTGCTGACACAGCCTGCTTTCTGCTCATTTGTTGACCTCGTCTGTCTCAGCATTTCATGTCTGTAACAACAGAAATATCCTTTTACAAGCTTTTGCATTAACAAAAGCAGTAAAAAATACTTTTTAAAACAATCAAATCATTGTCCTTGACAGTTGGTGTATTTCATGACGATTGTGGTCTGATAATCCCAGTGTCCCCTCCACACCCTGTGCATTCCTCTGTTGTATTTTACAAATAGATCTTTAAATTGAATATAGTTTGGTCGATTTGTAAAACTTTAAAAACAAGAACTGCTGAGTTTGAACTTTAGCTCTAAAATTCTCTAGCTTATGATGCGACCTCAGTCCCTCTGAGCTTTGTTTTTTTGATCTGTAAAATAGGGGTGATGATAGTTCTCATTTCAGAGAGTTGTTGCATGTTCGCCAAGACAATACATGTGAAAGTGCTTAGTAAATTATACAGGACTCCCCCACATAGTGGCTGATTTCAGTTTTATTTTAACCGCATCACTCTGGAAGGGGGCTGTGAGGATTGGAGCTGCTTCAGGAGACTCTGGGGGAGGAGGAGGTTGCAAATGTGGCAGAGAACAGAACCAAACTGAGACCCCCGAATACTTTGCTTCTATACCAAAGAGTAAGCGATTCACGGGTTACAGTTGCTACTGGGGTTACTAGGAAATCTTCATTGAATGCCAGAAAGTTGTCCCTCACTTCAATTTTGATTTCTTAAAATGCTGACCCGAGAAGACTAAATTATCAACCACTCTGTTGGTGGAGTCTATGAGTGAGTTATTTCAGCACAGTAACATGAAGTAACATGTTAGATTCCATGTAGGTCTCGGCTGGTGTAGCTCCGCATAGCATTTCCCGGAAGTCGTTTGTTTTCCATTCAGGTGTGAAGCTGTGATTCAGACATTAGGAACTGCTTTACCTCGGTTCTTTGCTCATTGGCAGAAAAAACCCTTTCTTCTTAATTTCATTGTCATCATCCTCTTCATTATTATACATATAAATAGTGCATCGAAACTACATTTTGTCTATGTGTCTGAAGCTTAATATTTTCCCTCTTAAAAATGATGGCAAACTGTCTGTAGACCTGAGCACTTTATGGTGGAAACTGTTTATTCGCTGAGCCGATCCAGGTGATCTCTCTGAAACTTAAGGTGCTCCATCTGGACGAGCGAGGGACGGAAGCACGTGGCCTGACATCCAGGTGTCCACTGCCGCACACTGTGCTCTGAGCGCCTCAGGCATTTCAAAGTCGAAGACAAATAGGAAAGAGGCCTGTTCTTTTCCCATGTGTTTACCTTTTTGTTGTGTCTACCTTTAGGAATGCTTCTGACTGCCAGCGAGACCCCCAAGATGGGCATCTATTATATTCCGGTAAGTAATACAGGCGGTTCCAATGGAAACAAGACAAGCGAAGATCATTTATTTTTAAACTGGATTTGTTGAGAGACGTTGGGTCCGCATGTGGCTGTGTAAATGACACAGTGGACCGACTCGTAGGTTCACTTTGCTTCCTGGAGCCAGTAAAACGATGCCTAACCATTCCTTTATGGGAGACTCCTTAATGTCACATCAAAATAGACATTAGAAATTATCCTTTATTCCTCTGATTTACATTTGTTTTTTTCATTTCACTGGAGTTTGTTTCTTTTAAAAATAAGTTACGTATAAAACAAACTGTCTTCGATCAACGTGAGCAATGCTGGCATGCGTTTTACAGTCCTGTCTATGTTGCTGTTGTTTCTTAAAGAATTCTTCCTTTACACATACCAGACGCTTCCCCACCTTTACCTGCTGGTTTACAGCAGGAAAGAAACCTCAGGAAACAGGGTCCTCTCCACAGAAAAGCACACAGTACGGAGCTGGCAGCAGGTTGCTTTATGGGCAGTGGACGCTCCCGTTTCTGAGATTTGGGGGGAAGAGAGTGAGGGGTGAGGGGTGTTGAAGATCAGAACTTTGGAGTGATGAGCTCTCTACACTTCAGCCTCTGGTTACGAAGATTCTTTATATTTGTGATGGTTTTTTTAATAATAGCTCAATCGTGTGTGTATTCTCCCCCGACCCCGCCCGTCAAAAAAAAAAAGTATTCTGGTTGATGTTGACATTCCGTGGTTTCAGGAAACTGATGTGTCGTTCAAAGCACTTTGAGATATTTCTGTTGGTTAAAGTAGAATGAAGGCCATTCACAGAGCAGCTTTTCCATTTTCCTAAGTTGTCATTTGTTCCTTTTCCCTGGACCTCACAGATACTGCTTTCGTCTGCCTTTCAGTTTATCCATCTTTCCTTGTCTTCATTTGTCCAATAGCTGTTTATTGATGGCATCAACTCTGTGCCAGGCACAGTGCTACATGCTGGCAGTATAAGGGCGTATAGGACACCGCCCCTTTTCTCAAGGAGTTCGTCGTTAGGGAGTAAAACAAGAAACTAGGCAGTTTCAGTTGAGTGCGATGGCAGAATGACAGAGTAAGAAGGGGTCCTTCGGAGGCGAGACCCTTTACCCTGGATGGGGCGGGGGGCTGCAGGGAAGTGTGGAGGGCGCTTGCTCAGAGGAACCTTCCAGGGGGATTGATGTCTAAGGAGGGACCTGGAAGATGATTCTATGTAGTGGATGAAGAGGTGGGCGCAGAATGGGAGAAGGACTTGGACGTAGAGGGAACAGTGTGTGCAGAGATGGGGAGAAAGGAATCCTCATGGCTGAGCGTGAGAACGAGAGGCGTGGGGGTGAGAGCTGAGGCTGAGGAGGCAACAGCCAGATGCAGAGCTGAGGAGCCAGGTGCGGGGACACAGGCCGGGCCATCCCGGAAAAGTTTTAAGCGATGGAATGATGTGATCGGATTTACATTTTGGGAGGATTACTTTGGTTCTGCCGCAAGGAGAATGCATTCGATAGGATCTAATCTGGAAGCAACGAGAACAGGCTGGAGCTGTCTCCTGGAGAGATGATGGTACCTGTGATACCTGGACCAGGCCGCCCGCGTTAGTAGGTGGAGGCTTTGGGGTTCTGGGATGATTTGAGGGAAGTCTGATCTGGCAGGCAGTAACTTCAGAGAGTTATTATCCTCAAATGGCCACATGGCACGTCTCGGCGGTGTTCATTGACGGAGACTCGTCCAGAATCACGAGAAATGCCTTCCCGCATCCGGCATCACACGGTCGTCTTCCAGTGCCAGCCCTGCCAGGGAACGTTGTCAGGAGAGGCGGAATGAATCAGCCTGCCCCCCAGCCTTTACTTCTCGTCCTGGGAGAGGTCTCCTGTCATCTTCCTCGTCGCAGTGCTTACTGTGTTTTCATCTTCAGCATCTGCCCGTGAGATGCTGATGTCTTGAATTGTAGCACTTTCCTGTGTCACAGTGTCACAGTGTGTCACAGCTCCCAGTGGGAAGGTGAAAGCACTCTAGGGATAGAGCGTGGAGGGCCGCCTTGGGAGTCTGGTAAGTGGATGAGGACCTGCAGGCCGAAGAGCCCCTTGGCATGGAGGCGGCAGGGGCCGTCCTGGACACTTTTGCCGCGAGGCCGTCTTACTGGCTTGTGCTCCGTTGGTGGCGAAGGGGATAGAGCTGGAGGATTTGTTAAGGTTGTGAAACAGGCCAGGTCATCAATTAGATATGGGGAGTGAGGAAGAGGAGAAAACCAAAAATGACAGCCGGCTTCTGCTTGGGTAAGCGTGTCGGCGAGGAGGTCAGTTCCTGAGTGCAGGGAGAGAGAGGGGAGTATTAGAAAATTTCCCTTCGGTATCACGTTCTGCGTCGTACAGTGACCTTTTAAAGAAACAAGCACACAGCTTTTTTGATTATGCAAACAGCGTCTGCATATTCCTATTTCTTCCAAGTGTTAACAAAATAAAAGAGGATAAAGACCCCCCCATTTTCCCCTTGATATTAAGCACTGTTAATATTTAGTTGTATTGTCTTTCAATTATGCTTATGATGTTTCATGGGCAAAGTCATGTTTTATATACAAATTTGTATCCTGATTTCTTCAGTTAACCACAGAAATATTGCTTCTAAGGCATTAAAATGACTTAAAACATTTTTAGTTATCTCTCTTATAGAATCTTACAACTGTAGGAAACTCATTATTCACCTGCCACTCTCTGGGTCTGTTTCTCAAGTAATGGGGACTTTAATTAGCACATGTGAGTGGGGCTGGGTGCCAGCCAGATGATGGGAAACTGCCTTCGTGACAAACGTTAGCTTAGCTTATAAGACTTTCATTTCAACTTTCTAACTCAGATGTAACAGAAAACTAAAAAAAATCCGCAGAGACAACTCCCAGGTGCCTGCGTGTGGGGACAGTTAGAGCCTAAGTTACTCTTGCTCAGCTGAGCATTGTACTGGAACTCATACTTGAGTGTTCCGTCCTGACCTACCTTGTCCCCTGCTGCCTTGTGCTGGGTGAGGTTTTATAGTGTCACTGTCTTTACTGAGAACCTGCTCTGTGTAGCACTCCTTCAAAGCAAAGGGGGCCCAGGGGTCTGAAAGCCTGCCATTTTTCATAAGATTCGATCAAACTTACCAAGCTGACATTTAGTACAAAGATTTATCTGAGGCCTGCAGAACCAGAAAAGTATGTGTTTAATGTGCGATTCATGCAAACATAGGCGATTTGGACTGCGATTTGTATTGATGGCTTATAAATCAAGTATGAAAATTCTTTTCCCTCCTTTGGGTCCATGCTAAAAATGAAGACAACTTAATGTTCCTATAGCTTGTTGACTTTTTGCCTTTCTGATAGCATCTTTCTTAAGTACTTGAACTCTTTATAGATTAAATGCAATTCCTGATTTACGTGCTTTCTGCCACTTACACATCCACATAGCTAAGTAGGCTTTTATGACCAAGTAGATTTTCTCCAGCCTTTTTCACATTTTCTCAGTGACCAGAGACCAGAATCCCATTTTGTTTGTTTGTTTGCTTTTTGAATTCCAGGGCCTAATTCAACTGCAGCTCCTGAAACTAATGCCAGAAATTGTTTGTCAAGTTTGGTTTTCCCGACATGTAATTTAACCTTAAGTCGGTCCTTTATAATTAACACCATTGGCAACTATGTGGACTCCAGAGGGACGACAAGTCTCTGTGGGCACCCAGCCCCAAACCTTGCCGGCGTGGTTCCTGGCCTTTCCGCTGGGAGCGTGCTGAGTTCCAAACCCCAGAGTATCAGCAAGCTCCTGAAACCACTCACCGGGTAGTTGATCGCTTGCCTGCTTTATAAGATATGTGCCAGAATATAATTTTTAGGCAGTAAGATAAGAATCAGTTCCTTTGCTCTGCTAGTACATTCTAATCAGTCAGATCAGATAATCTTGGCGTGATGCAATCATTGTGTTTGAGAGTGCTGGCAGATTTCTAAAAGTAATGCCACATCCAAAAGATTTAATGATGATCCTGTTAACAGGCTAAACTCTTTCCTGGAAAAATGTAAAAGGAGAATGTGAAAGTATGGACATTTAGCTTTTGTTGGGCCATTTTTGAAATTTGTCCTAAAGTTAACATCTAGGATAGGACGGGCTGCCTGTTTTAAAGGTTGGAAACAATACCATTATTTTTCTTTCTGTGCGTACCTGTGCTTTTAAGCTGGAGTTTCTGGAAGTGCTGTGTATGGTCCCTCCTAAGTTTTGGGTTTGAATCTAGACCACGATTGGTCCAGTTGATCCGTTTCAGTTCAAAGCAAACATGTTCCGTGGTGGTCTAGAAGTCAGGGTTCAGCGCTCTCAATTCAAAGCCAACACTGAAGACTCATTTATGGCTACTAATTTGACATTCAGTGAATTCCCAGATATGAGAGCTTTTTGGCCCACTAGTATATGCTGAAATGGCCTTGAATATATTAGTGTCTGTGTAGAATGCTAAAAGTGATGATCACACGTTCATCTAAAGTGCTCATTTAAGCAGAGAGCTGTTAGACATAATGACAGAAGTAATTTTGTTAGAAATTCCTATTTTATGGTGCCAGTAGCAACACATTCTCCTGGTTTAGGGTGGTAGTGCCAGATGCAAAGAAAACAGTCCCCTGGGGAATCTGCCAGCATTCAAAGAATTTACCAAACGGAACATAAACTGAACAAGGAGTTGCTAAAATGTTTTCACATTAAAGGGTTTTTCAACATGCTGTAAGGAACAGTGGAAGCTTTTGAAACATTATAGCAGGAAGGGAAATTTGAGGCTTTGTAGTCCAACCCCTTAATTTATAGCTGAGGAATCAAGTTATTTGTTCAAGGTCGAACGCCAAGTTGGTGGCAGAGCTAGATCTAGAAGGCATTTCTTCATTCCTCATTGCACAGTGGAAAGAGCTTAGATTTCGGAATTAGTCTGACCTGCGTTTGAATACCAGCTTTGCCACTTACAAATCTCTTGACCTTGAAATGAGTTATTTAC